AGGTCCGCCAAGGACTTGCCTACATGCATGCTGCCAATAGTAAGAGGGATGGTAAAACTCCTTGGGTCCTTGCACTTTTCGGGCAGCTTGTTCTGCAGGATAGCAGAACACTCCTCGCTCAGCAGCACTGTCGAAAGATCCCCAAGTTTCTTCTTGTTTGTGAGGAGGTCTTTCATGAACTTGGCGTACTTGGGCATCTTCGACAGTGCCTCCACGAACGGCATACTGATGTTGAGCTGCTTCAACATTGCCATAAACTTGGCAAACTCAGTCTCCAGCTTGTCTTTGTGTAGGCGAGTGGGGAAGGGAAGCTGGGGCACATGCTCCTTAACCACTAGTTGTGGCTTGGGAGCAGGGGCTTCCTTCTCCACCCGCACTTTTGCATCGTCGGCTGGAAGTGCTGAAGCAGGTAGTGGTTCCTCCTGCCTGGCCGGTACAGGATCAGCGGATATGGCCTTACCGCTCCTGGTAAAAATGGCATCCCAGGTGAAGTCCCCTCAAGTAGAATTCTCCTCGATTTACTTTCCTTGTTCATTCATTTTGTAGTTTTCTTAGTTTTTAACCTAAAACCATTTTGCTAGATAACAACTTAAGCGATTGAAGTAGGGGTACATGGACCGGCCGGGTTGACAATTTAAATACTTTCCCTACACTACAGCCAGCTAGAGTTTGAAAACTTGGGATCTTGTCGGGATTAATTCGCAGTGTAGTTCCGGGCGAGTCAGAACCACTTGGAAGAACCGACCCTCCAAAGTAGCCACCTGGAGACGTCACAAACACTTAACCAAATTCCTGGGTTCTTCAAGGTAGTTGAGATTGATTGTGTCAAAGGCCATGGTGGCTTGAATGGTTGATGATTTGGGATCATATCAGCTAGCATTCCCGTGAAACGCATGGGTTCAATTATCCTTGGGGAGGGCATGCGCTTGGGTTGTGTTCTTCACGTTACTGAATTTCGTTGTAATTTACACTCTGTTCGTCGTTTGTGTGAAGAATATCGAGTGACATTAATTTTTATGGGTGATTTCATTATAATCCAGGACTTACTCTCCAAGAACGTGATTGGGAAGGAGGAGATTCATGAGGGTCTCTATTACTTGAAGTTATTCGGCTGCAGGAGGGAGCAAGTGAATGTCGCGGCAAAGCATGATGGAGTTTCTGGAAAGCTTTGGAACGTATGGCTCGGCCACCTTCGTTGTCCAAGTTATCATTACTGAGCCATGTTTTTTCTTTTGCTAAACCCACTAGTGATGTTTGTCATCCTTGTTCATGGGCAAAGCAGACTCGGACCCCATTTCCCATTAGTTCTGTTCGTACTACGGATTTTTTTCAGTTATTGAATATGGATATTTGGGGTGGCTACCAGAACCCTTCACTCAATAGAGCGTATTATTTTCTGACGATTGTTGACGATTTTAGTCGTGGAGTTTGGGTGTATCTTCTTTGTTTTAAATCAGAGGTTAGCCGTTATGTGCAGATGTTTTGTCGCATGGCATTTACTCAGTTTGATCGCAGGGTCAAGAGGATCCAAACTGACAACGGGTTGGAGTTTAGTTGTCGCTCCCTCCATGATTTTTATGACCATGAGGGGATTCTTCTGCAAACAACTTGTAGTGACACACCACAACAGAATGGTGTAGCCGAACGGAAACACAGACATTTGTTGGACACTGCGAGGGCCCTCCATTTCCAGGCTTCATTGCCATTACATTTCTTGCGAGAATGTGTTCTCACTGCAGCTTATTTAATCAACCGCTTGCCGACGACAGCCACGAAAAATCGGACGTCGTATGAGATTTTATTCGGGAAGGCAGCCTCTTACGCTCACTTATGTGTCTTTGGTTGCCTGGTCTATTGCAAGGACACTCATGCTGGTCTTGACAAGTTCATTTATCGTGGGTGTGCCTGTGTTTTCCTATATTCTCGCTTCTCGCAAGATGATCACAAGTCGCCATGTGCTTTTCCACGAGCATATTTTTCTTTTTGTCCTGTCTCGTCTAAGGATTTTCATTGGCTCCCCGCCGCGTCATCTCGACATCTATTACACGGGAAGTGATGTTAACTCTGTATGTTATCATATGTCTTCTCATGTTTCTTATGAGAGAGTTACACCAACTTATCAAGCTTTTCTTGCAGCAATGGCCCAACACTCGGAATTACAAACTTTTCGTCAAGCCTTCTTAGACGAACGTTGGCGGCAAGCCATGCATGTGGACATCTTGGCTTTGGAAGAAAATGGGATGTGGTGCCTTGTTTTTCTTCCACCAGGAAAATGCTGCATTGATTGCAAATGGGTATACAAGATCAAGTTTAACCCGAATGGAACCGTGGAGCGTTATAAAGCTCCCCTCGTTGCCAAGGGTTATACACAGATAGAGGGAGCTTCCATGACACGTTTGCGCCTGTTGCCAAACTTGTCACAGTTCGATGTCTCCTTGCCATTGCAGTCAGCAAGGGTTGGTTTGTTCATCAATTGGACGTCAATAACGTGTTCCTCCATGGTGATCTGGATGATGAGGTTTACATGCGCATTCCTCCAGGTTTTGCTGCGCCCGGTGAAACACGGGTATGTCGCTTGCACAATTCACTGTACGATGTCCGTCAGACCTCTCGCAATTGGTACCATAAGTTCACTTATGCCCTTTGCGAACTTCTTCTCGCAACCAGAGGAGCACTTTTGTCGCGGCTCTCATCTACGTTGATGACGTTCTCTTGGCTGGGAATGAACTTACCTTTATTTCACATGTCATGTCTTTCCTGGATGCGTATTTCAACATAAAGAACCTTGGTAGTCCTCATTATTTCCTCGATATCAAGGCCGCTTATTCTCCAACGGGCATAATTCTCAGTCAATGAAAATATGTGCTTGATATCTTGACTGATGTTGGGGTCACTAGTTGTCGGCCTTGCTCCTTCCTCGTGGAACAGAACCATCGCCTTACCCAACCTGGTGTCTCAGATCTCCTCGCCGATCCCACTGCTTATCGTCTTCTCATGGGACGAATTCTTTATTTGATAGTATCCCGTCTGGATATTACCTACGGTGTTAACTTGCTCAATCAGTTCGTCAATGCCCCTACTCATGCTCACATGGATGTTGCTTAGTGCATTCTTCGCTATTTGAAGACTTCCCCTGGTCATGGCCTTTACTTTCCTACTAATAATGATCTTCAGCTCACTGCTTATTGTGATGCATATTGGGGTGGCTGTCAGAGTACTCGGCGGTCCACCACAGGTTACATCATCAGTCTCGACGGTGCCCCTATTTCCTTGCGCAGTAAAAAGAATAAGGTTGTTGCAAGTTCTTCGCTGAAGCAGAGTATTGGGCCATGGCCAGCACAGTTAGTGAACTTCTTTGGTTGCGATGGCTCTTGGGATAACTTGGTGCTCTGCAGCAGGGTCCGACTCCTCCTCATTGTGATAAACAGGCTGCTCTTCATATTGTAGCCAATCCTGTCTTCCATGAGCGCAAGAAGCACGTCGAGATGGACTGTTATTTTGTTCGTGAGAGAGTTTAGTCCCGTATAACGGGGATACCACGTAAACTCGTCTCTCTTTACGTTTCCGAATAGATTCCTATATTTCTCATTTGGGGTCCTCAAGGTGATCGGAGATTTCGAGTCAAGTCAGCATTTTTCATTGCAGCAAACTTTGACATGGAGGCGAAAAAATTTGACTAGCGTAGTCTATGGTAGTGGAGACGACCAGCGAGGATACTACACTTCATGTGGCTGACAGCGAGAGACAAACTAATCACAAACTCTATAAGGCAATGACACCACTTTGCCAATTCTCCTTTATGCACTTATTGTAACGCATAGCCCGAGACGATCTTGCATTTGTTGTGGGATTGTGCATTTTCCAAGTTAACTTGGTTGCAAACCATCTAGCCTTTTATTCACCAACAAGTTTTTGGTCATAAACTTTTATAGGATTGGCTATTGAATAACCTTCAACAATAGCACACGACATTACCTGTTGGTCCCTTTGGTGGAGTAAGAACGATCATGTCTTCGCAGACAAAATTGTATCTGTCGAAACCTTCCAGTAGCGGGTCCAACCATGGTCAAGCATTGCGAGGATTGTCATGAATAAGAATAGACTCATTCATAGGCCTCATTCGCCCATAAGAACAAAGGTGTTGAGTTCTTGGGAGTCACCACATCATGAGTGGGTCTCTCTAAACTCCGACAACTCCTTCCATCCTTATTCGGGTAACGCGGATGCGGGTGACCTAGTTAGAGATCATTCTGGAAGCTGTCGAGTAGCTTTTGCTAACAACCTTGGGATTTGTTCCGTCATCCGAGCTGAGTTGAGAGGAGCTGTAGAGGGGCTTCAACTTGCTTGAGACCTTGGTTTTCGTCATATCGAGGTCCAGTTGGATTCAAAATGCAAAGTTCAACTTCTCATGTTGAATGCAGGCGACCCCGCCACAAATCCATCCTCTCAATACTTTCTTGAGCTGTTATCTGTTGATCGTAAAGTCTCGGTTAGTCATATTTATCGAGAAGTTAATAAGTTTCCATATTTTATAACTAGTCAAAGGCCATATATTGCCTTTAGGGTTTATGATTTTTCTATAGTTGATCATATATCTGTCCACCGGCCAACAAGCTTTATGTTTACTGTCTAAACAGTTTAGGCCACTTTAAAAAGATGTATGAAATCTAGCAATTGGGCACGAGTGACACATGGCTATGGTCAAACCATAGCATCTTTTGCTACCGACCTGTGGATGTACCTTTTCGCAACATTACTACCTAAACTCTAAACCAAACCCATAGTCCGTCCTTCCTTCCTTCTCCATTACTTAATCATTTTATGCATCCAGTAATCCAAAACCCCAACCCCGGCGAAAAAATCTAAAACACCCAAAAAGAAAGTCCGCCAAACCCAATTCCAGCGGCCCGTGGATCGGTCAACACGCGACCCGCGAACCAAATGCGCCCATGAGAACAATAATTTAAAAAGAAAAAAAGAAAAGGGAAGAGACAGAACAGACCACCTTTTCCCTCCGTTGGATCCAAACTCCCCGCCAGCCACTGAATCTGCCTTCCCCTCTCCCCTTCTTGCACCCGTCAGAGAGAGAGAGAGAGGGAGAGAGATTATAATAATAAACGAGAGGCTGTCTTTGAGACCAGTCCACATTCAATTTTTCGTTCCAATAAAAGGAAGGAAGAGAGACATTCTTCTCTCCAGACTCGTCTCTCTGCCCTGTTTTTGTTATCCTTTAAGCTTCGTACCGTAGCAGAAGGGTTTAGGGGGGAAAGCTCCGTTCAATGGCGAGCTGGGTTCTATCAGCAAGCGGCTTAAAGCCTCTGCCCTCAGCCTTCCCCAGGCCCGGAGTCGGAGCCGTCTACCGAGACAGCCTCTCCAAGCCGAGATTTCTGAGGCCCGCTGCCACCGGCTCGGATCTGAACATTAGATTCTCTTCTACCCGTTCTTCTTCAAGGAAGAGAGCGAGTGTGCCCTTTCAGGTTGCTTCAGTGGAAGAAGAAGAAGAACCCAATTTCAACGATGCGATTGGAGAAGCAGAGCCGCCGGCAGGTTTTGACCCAGGAGCGCCGCCGCCCTTCAATTTGGCCGATATTCGAGCCGCCATACCCAAGCATTGCTGGGTTAAGGATCCGTGGAAGTCGATGAGTTACGTAGCCAGGGATGTCGCCGTGGTTTTCGGATTGGCTGCCGCCGCGGCTTATCTCAACAATTGGATTGTTTGGCCCCTGTATTGGGCAGCTCAGGGGACCATGTTTTGGGCTCTTTTTGTTCTTGGTCATGACTGGTAACCATTCATAATTGTCCCATTAACAACATATCCCTAGTATTCTCTTTTGTTGCAATTTATGATGATGGAATAGAAATTTGGCTTTTGCAGCGGCCATGGCAGCTTTTCAAGCAATCATAAGCTCAACAGTGTGGCTGGACACATTCTTCATTCTTCAATTCTAGTGCCTTATCATGGATGGTAAAAGCTCTTCTGCTTATATCCGGGTTTTTGGTGGTTGCTTATTTGTTTCCCCGAGTTTCCTGCTGAGTCTTAGTAAAAGCATTCACATATATTTGTGGCCAATTTTACAGGAGAATCAGCCATAGGACTCACCATCAAAACCATGGCCACGTTGAGAACGACGAATCATGGCATCCTGTGAGCCTTCTTTTCTCAATCAGATCCTTGTCAATTTTGTGCTGGCTAGTCTGAAAAAGATGTACCAACCTTTGTTGTTATATTAATACTGCAGTTGTCTGAAAAGATATTCCGGCAATTGGATTCTGCAACTCGAACTCTGAGGTTCACATTGCCTTTCCCCATGCTTGCATATCCTTTCTATCTGGTAAGTGTCCCAATTACTTGATAATGGTGAATTCAATTTGCAAGTTGCAGAACCAGCCAAAGTCAGAGATTTTCTCTTTGTTTCCTTGCAAAATTCAGTGGAGTAGAAGCCCTGGAAAGTCAGGCTCTCACTTCGACCCAAACAGTGATTTGTTCGTGGCGAGCGAGCGGAAAGATGTGATCACTTCAACCGTGTGTTGGACGGCCATGGCTGCGTTGCTTGTGGGATTGACATTTGTAATGGGTCCTATGCAAATGCTTAAGCTCTACGGAATTCCTTATTGGGTACAGACAAAAGATCGTTACTTTTCCACATACACTAATTTTTGCTTGTTCTCCATTAAAGACTCGTCTTCTTAACTCTTGACCACTCCGCTCTTGATGTGTTGTTTAGGGCTTTGTTATGTGGCTAGATTTTGTAACTTACTTGCATCACCACGGCCATGATGACAAGCTTCCTTGGTACCGTGGCAAGGTAAATGATTCAACGTCTGTTCATTTAAACCCAACGAAAAGTCAGTTGCTTTGAAGAGAATAGTATATAGGGGAAGCCAACTATTAGACCTTCATTTAACCTTTCTTTATCACTAAATGTTTGAGATCCTTGTGGACAGGAATGGAGTTACTTGAGGGGAGGATTAACCACGCTTGATAGAGACTATGGATGGATCAATAACATCCACCACGATATTGGAACCCATGTTATTCACCATCTCTTCCCACAAATCCCCCACTACCACTTGATCGAAGCAGTAAGCACTTCTTTTGCGCCTTTATGCCTAACTCTCTGTTATAGGCAATCTCTTAAAGAGGAAACTAAGGCAACTTTTTATACAACAAAGCTTTACGGTAAAGATAGTTTCTTTGGTCTATTTCCCTTAAACCTAAACGAATTTCTGTTGGTTTGTGTAGACGGAAGCTGCTAAGCCGGTGCTCGGGAAGTACTACCGGGAACCTGAAAAATCATGGCCACTTCCCTTTCACCTCATCGGAAACTTGATAAAGAGCATGAAGAAAGACCATTATGTTAGTGACACGGGTGATGTTGTTTACTATCAAACTGATCCCAATCTCCAATGACCTATCGTAATCACCATCACCAGAGTAACTAATCATGCGTTCTTCCAATGGACGAAAGTATGGCTATCAATGGGGAAAAAAGGAAGCTTTAGCTTTTGGTTGTCCTTGGCTAACTGAGAGAAACTCCTTGGTTGTACTTCTGTTATTGCAATTGGCAAGACAGACGTTCTCCACCACCCATGGCTTGTAGTTGTACTGTCATAAGTAGAATTTGGAGCAGCCAGTTGTATTCTTTAGAAATTAGAAGATGAGAAAATGTGTTTCTGTAGTATGGGAAATCAAAAGGGTATAAGAAATGTGTAAAATTTTGGGTGGGAAGGGAAGTAATAGTTTCAATTCAATGATTAAATCCTGTGGAGCCATACGATTCTCCTCTATATTTGTTTCTCTTTCTCCTTTATAACTTTACTGGTAAAAGTCGTCTTGCTATCGCTTCGTGTATCACAAATATAAATATTTTAAAAAGTAATAGCTTTAATGTTGACCCAAAAGTAAAAGTAATCTTATTTTATTCGTAATCATTCTTCTCATAGGTTTGTTATTTCCAATAGCATATGGTCGATGAACTTGCATAAGGTAAAAGGGTCGTTGAATATATTATTTATGTTTAAACTTCTTTCATGAAGCTAAAGTTTCAATTTGTATGGCTTGCGCTTGAGGTAATCGTGGTTCTCCTTTATGAAAATTTAGGACTGATTGCAGGTTTGAGCAGGTTCAACTCACATTGATCGGGTCAAATTAGGTTGGATACCCATGGATTTGGGTTCAATTGTCTTTCTCAAACAAAGGAAAAAGTGAAATGAAAAACAGTAAAGCTAAAACTCGCTACCGACTCAAAACTCGTCAACACTAGGTTCAACTCGCTTTGACCTATTTGGACCTAGTTTTGGACAAATTCACACCTGACACAACACACCAATTACAAAAACAAATAAAACTCGCTCCCGCCGAAAACCTGTAAAATCGGGTTCAAGTCGCTTTGGTCGGGTCAAATTAGGTTGTATACCCCTGCGTTTGGACTAAATTGTCATTCTCAACCAAAAGGAAAAACATAAAAAAAATAATAAACCGGATACAACTCACTCATGACCCCAAACTCTCAACAATGTGTTCAACTCGCTTTGATTGAGTCGATCCAGTTTTAACAAATTCACAATTTACCCAACCTGTCAATTACAAAAGCGGATAAAATTTGTTCTCGATCAAAACGCGTCAATGATGGGTCAGAGTTCAATTGTCATTCTCAACGAATATGAAAATGAGAAATAAAACGATGGGTCAGAGTTCAATTGTCATTCTCAACGAAAATGAAATGAGAAATAAATATAATTAAAGTGTACAAAACTCGCTTTCGATCTAAAACTGGTCAACAACGTGTTCAACTTGCTTTGAACAATTTTTTAACAAATTAACACTTGGTCTAGCCTGTCAACTACAAAAGCGGACAAAGCTTGCTCACAATACAACACTCGTCAAAATATTAGATTCGGGTTCAATTGTCTCCCCAACCAAAAGAAGAAGAAAACTGAAATTTATAAATGCTAAAGTCGGTTTCAAGTCGCTTTGACTTGATCGAATTAGGTTTTATACCTATGGATTTGGGTTCAATTGTGATCATGCTCAACAAAAAGGAAAAAAAGAAAGAAAAAACATCAAAGAGGATGAAAATCGGTCCAGATACAAAACTCATGGTAGCAGCCTTGGACAACGATGATGGGAGAACAACATAGGATTTCACCGACAGTATTTCGAGATGGGCTGCAAAATGGTGGGAAATGCGACGAAAACCTAGTGAACAATAACAAAACAATAAAGAGGATGAAACTCGATCTAGATACAAAACTCATGGTAGCGACTTTGGGAAAGATGATGGGGAACAACTTAGGATTATGCCGACAGTATTTCGAGATGGGATGGTGGGCAAATGCGATGATTTGTGTTCAAGTTAGGATACACATGTGTTTGGGTTCAATTGTGATCATGCTCAACAAAAAGGGGGAAAAAAGAAAGGAAAAAACACTAAACAGGATGAAAATCAGTCTCGATACAAAACTCATGGTAGTGGCCTTGGAAACGGTGGTGGGGAACTACTTAGGATTCCGCCGACAATATTTTGAGATGGGCTGCAAAATGGTGGGCAAAGGCGATGATTTCTGCAAAAAGTCATAGACGAAAACCTAGTGAACAATAACAAAATACTAAAGAGGATGAAACTCGATCCAGATACAAAACTCATGGTAGCGACCTTGGAAAATGATAATGGGGAACAACTTAGGATTCCGCCGACAGTATTTCGAGATGGGCTGCAAAATGGTGGGAAAGGCGATGATTTGGGTTCAAGTTAGGATACACATGTGTTTGGGTTCAATTGTGATCATGCTCAACAAAAAGGAAAAAAAGATAGAATAAAACACTAAAGCTGATGAAACTCAGTCCCGATACAAAACACGTGGTAGCGGCCTTGGGAAATGGTGGTGGGGAACAACTTAGGATTCCGCCGACAGTATTTCGAGATGGGTTGCAAAATGGTGCGCAAAGGTGATGATTTGTGCAAAAATTCATAAACGAAAACCTAGTGAAAAATAACAAAATACTAAAGAGGATGAAACTCGATCTAGATACAAAACTCATGGTAGTGACTTTGGGAAATGATGATGGAGAACAACTTAGGATTCCGCCGACAGTATTTCAAGATGGACTGCAAAATGGAGGGCAAAGGCGATGATTTGTGTTTAAGTTAGGATACACATGTGTTTGGGTTCAATTGTGATCATGCTCAACAAAAAGGAAAAAATGAAAGAAAAAAACACTAAAAAGGATGAAGCTCAGTACCGATACAAAACTCGTGGTAGCCGCCTTGGGAAACTGTGATGGGGAACAACTTAGGATTCCGCCGAAAGTATTTCGAGATGGGCTGCAAAATGGTGGGCAAAGGCGATGATTTGTGCAAACAACCATAGACGAAAACCTAGCGAACAATAACTAAACACAAATGCGGTGATTTATGCAAAACGCCATAGACGATAACCTAACGAAAAAAAACAAAATACAAAGGCGATAATTTGTGCAAAAAGCTATAGGCGAAAACCTAGTGAACAATAACTAAACACAAAGGTTGTAGAATGGAGAGTGGGGTAAAAGAAAGAGTTGGAACTTTTCCACTTGCATTTGAAGGAGTGTGAAAGCCACTAATGAATACTAACTCAAACGTAGGCTTTTATATATTATATTAATGGGCTGCAAAATGGTGGACAAAGGCGATGATTTGTGCAAAAAACAATAGACAAAAACCTAGCGAACAATAACTAAACACAAATGCGGTGATTTGTGCAAAAAGCCATAGACGATAACCTAACGAATAAAAACAAAATACAAAGGTGATAATTTTTTCAAAAAACTATAGGCGAAAACCTAGTGAACAATAACTAAACACAAAGGTTATAGAATGGAAAGTGGGGTAAAAGAAAGAGTTGGAACTTCCTCACTTGCATTTTAATGAGTGTGAAAGCCACTAATGAATAATAACTCAAACTAGACATTTATATATTATAATTAATTAATATCTAATATATATTATATATTATATTAATATATTAATAATCCATACATATCTTGTGTGAACAAAAACCATCAAGTTGGGATTCTTGGCTCAACTGTAGATATGAAGGGCTACCGCCTACCAGCTTACCACTTCCACTAGTACTATAGAAGGCGTTGTCTCGTAGTGCTTTGAAAAGTTATTGAGAAATGACCAAACTCATTGAGAAAAAAAGCACCTCTTTCATAGTAAAAGTTGACATTCGGGTTGTTTGAACATCGTAATCTTAGATTGCTGTCCAATAATCTCACAATTAATTAGCCATCAAGGACATCATTTGTGATGGTGTTGACCACTTTGATACTAAATAATCTTGGTTGTAGCTGTGGTGCTTGTCTCATGATAAGATTGGTGGGAGAACTCTTAGTTCTTAATCGTCGACTTTGATATTTGCCTGTGTTACTTGCCTAAAAAAATTGTGTAGGGGTGATATTTAGTTAATCGGTTAGCAATTACAATGATAAACTAACTAATAACTTACCATTAACAATTATATTGTTAACTAATTATAAGTCGGTATTGTGGTTATCTGTAGATTGAAATCACTTTTGGTGTAACCGATAATCAAATAGTCGGTTAGTGGTTAACTCATTCATAATCGAATATCATATTTATGTTTCTCTCCCTCAAAATGGTCATATTCCTCCCAAAAAACTCTCACACTTCGAACTAAAAATCTCCTTCCCACCACGACCCTCTTCTTGTTTGCCAAATTAATCCTAATGTGGTCCATAAAATTGAAAAGGAAAAGAAAACCAACGATTTTGCTATTGGTATGTAGGCATCGAAATCGAATTAGGAAGATCAGATGACTTATATTGCAGGAAAGATAGCAAAGGACATCTTCCATCATTGGCTCCCCTCATCGGGTTCACACTCATCACTCTTCTCTTCCTTTCTTCATTTTATACTCTCACTCTAAATAGGAATAACAAGCCAAACCCAAATTAATGATACAAATTTAAAAAAGAACATACACATATGCATAAAAAAATCTGAAAAATGCATAATTTGAGGGGGAACCTTCTGTTGGTTCGGTTACCGTTTGATTATTTTGGTATAATCTTACCGAATCACTTGCTAAACGGCTAGTCGGGTAACCGACACAATAATCGATTGTACGGTTATGATTAACCGACTAATATAAATGGTGCGATTCAAAATAACCAAAAATTGCTTAACATTTCATCGGTAACCGAATAAACTTGAAAGGGACTTGATTTTGCAATCATGAAAATAAAAGAGAATATTTACTAATATACGATCTTTATTAAATGAGCCCTACCGTGGAAGAACCAAAAATAAAAATTTTAAAAAAAACTTATACATAGACGTTTTGTATAAATGAAAGGGCTAATACCACTAAAAATACTAACATCTTGAGAAATTGTCATTTATATTACGTAACCTCAATAATTACATTACTATTGCAACCTATTGGGAATTAGCGGCATTTGTGTTACACAAATTTTAGTTGACTGTTAGAGTTAAGCATTGACCCAACGCTGGTGAGCCTATGTTTGACCGTTGCTTATGTGGCGCTTAAGTGACGTCCACATATGTGCCACATAGGAAATTTAAAATTTTAAAAATTTAATTGTAATAATAATATTTAAAAATAAAAAAAAGAACGCCCATTTACACGAGTGCCTGGATCAGGCCAGTAACATTCTCCGTAGTAACTATGAGTAACCCCTTTATTTGTCCTCCACGTGTCAGTTTTTGCCCTTTGTTTAAATTAAACACGAAGGGGCAGTATGATAAAATTGCACCCACCCCATTTAATGATGACGCTGACACTAACACTCTGGCGTGGACTCCACTCCCTCCCCCATGCCTTCTCCTCTCTTAATCTTTTTTTATTATT